TCTCTCCAGGGCTGAGATTATAGGCACACACCCTTGGGACTAGTTTGTGTGTGTGCGCCGAGGATCTGCACTAGTCCTCATGCTTATCTTTGCCAACTGAGCAATCTCGGATCCTAAGCCTGATAGACTTTGACCATAGTGCCATGCCCTATCCCCACTGTGCCCCCTGCTGTACTGGTGATCTGTCTATGTGCATTATGTATTGTGTTTTCTTTGGGGTGTCTCGGTTGCCTGGGTCATTGAAGGCTGGATGAGCTGTTGTTGATGGTGAGTCTTCCATGGGATGGCTTGTCTTTGTGAAATGGGAAAACCAATCATGAGAGGTGTATTTGGTTAATGTGGACAAATGCATTAGGATTTTCTCCTCTATATCAGTGAATCTGAATAAATCTTTATACTAAGAACCTTAAGTGTTGAAGAACTCGGACTCTTTCAAGCCCCCATCTTATAGTCATAAAATTTTCACACATCCCTCTTGTTCTTTCAGCTTGTCTCCACTCCCCCCCAACCCTGAACCCCCCACCCTAACTAGTCTTAGACAAGAATTTTCAGCTGGGCTGGAGATCAACAGTCAAGGCTCATGCTGCTCTCTCACTGAGAACCAGTGATGCGGTCCCAACCCTTCATTTCACAGACCCTGAACTGGAAACCCATAGGGCTTGGCTAAAGTCTCAGCCACCCATGTGACCGGGTAGATTTCTTGTTCTGGATTAGATTAAATGTTGCAGATTCCCCCAGGGCACTGTTAGTGCCTCCTTCACATCTTGGATGGTATTAAATTGATCAGGGCCGGTCCAGAAAGGTTTCACATGAAGAGTGTGTCTAGTTCAATGAGTGATTACATGTGCATATAGCTACATATGTGTTACAGAACAGATCACCTCCTTGGAAACTGCTCTCTTTAGGAGGACCATTTACTGCTCTTCATTTTTGAGAGAAAGCAAACAGAAAGACTTAGTTTCTTAAAAGAAAAACTAGTTATAACTGTGATTCTGCTGTCAATTAGCCTCTCTTTATTTATGCACCCACCCCCCAAAAAACCCTACAATTTATGCTTCTAATTGTCACGTAATCTGAAATACTTTAAATTTTCTACACATTAGTGTTTTCTCATGATGATAGTTCACATTTTATTATTTCATTTTAAGATTTACTTATTTTATGTCATATCAATGAGTGTTTTGCTTGCATATGCATGTGTGTACCATGTATATGCCTGGTGCCTGCAGGGACCAGGACTGGGTATCAGATTCCCTGTACTGGATTCATGAATGGCTGTGACTTATCAGATAGGTCCTGGGAACTGAACACAGGTCCTCTTCAAGGGCAACAAAGTGCTCTTAACTGTTCAGCCATTTATCTGACCCTTCACCCTGTGTATTAAAGGAACAGCAGGTGATTAAATAGTATAATTCGATTACACAAGATTATCTCCATTGATCAAAGTGAGAAACAGCAATGCAGGAATTGAGTGTAGCCTACTCCAGTGGAAGGATTATGAAGAATGTATTTTCTCAATGTGCATCTGTGTTTTCTGAACTAGGGACACAACATTTGTCCTGATTTTCATTTCACAGAATAGCAGAAGAATGACCTCTGGGTGTCGGGATCATGACTTTGGAAATCAATTGTGCCCCAAATCATACTATTTACAGTCAAATTATTCAATGTGGAAGGAATGCAGTTACAAATATAGTAGTGTGCTTCTTGCAATGCTTAGCATCCAAGGGTGCTTTCTTTTCTGAAACACAGTTTTGAGAAAGACGATAATTTTAGAAGCTTAACACACAGTGCTGACCCTGTCCCCAGCTCTGGCTCCCTATACCATCAGGCAGAGAACTCCACTGACTTACATTTAAGAAGTTGCCACTCAGGGTTCAAAATATATGCTCTTATGTACATGAGCAAATAGGAATCTTAGTGGAATGCTTGGGTAGTTATTAGTGGTTTTGCTGCATTTGCCATGTTTAGGGCAAGAGGCCTTGAAGTCCTTCCTCCTTACTGTATCAGTTAGTGGGTCTGATACACCTGATGGGTTAGATGAATGGAAGGTATGAATATTTAATTTGAGGAAAGTGAGGAAGACTTGTAGCTTCAGGCATCTTCACAGTCTCAGCCAAGCTGTGTTTTTTGAAACCATTTGGAAGGAGGTACTGGGATGAACTTTTAAAGGAATGATGTGTTGACTAGCCCGGTTCCTATGTTATTATCAAGATAGCATTACTCTCAATGTAGTCATGTCACAGTTCTTTAGGTTGACTTGTCCTAACAGGACTAAAGGCTGGCTGTGGTGGTTTGAAAATGTTTGGCCCACAGAAGTGGCATTATTAGGAGATGTAGCTTTGTTAAAGGAAATGCATCACTGCAGGGATGGGCTTTGAGGTTCTATGCTTAAGCTCTGCCCAGGGTGGTAAAAGACCTTCCTCCTGGCTGCTTGCAGAAGACAGTCTTCTGCTGCTGCCTTCTGATCAAAATGTAGAACCCTTGACTCTTCCAGCACTGTGTCTGCCTGGACACTGCCATGCTTCCTACTATGGTGATAATGGACTGGACCTCTGGAACTGTAAGCCAGTTCCAATAAAATGTTTTCTTTTATAAGAGTTACCTTGGTCATGGTGTCTCTTCTCGGAAAAACAAAAACAAAAACAAAACAGAAAAACGAAAAAGCAAAAAGACAAACATAACTAAGACACTAGTTTGTTTGAGGAGAGTGTGCTAATGAGTGGTTGGCAAACTCCATTTGCTTGGATAAATGAGATGGTGGCTAACCTGATCTATAGTCTCAGGTAGAAAACTTGTAAAACCCACATGTGCAGTTTTTCTGTGGATTTCTCAGGGATGCACCATCTTTCCCTTCACTATCTTCTCATCATGAAACAAGTGAAGTCACATCATGGCTTCCTTAAGCCTCATTCTCTGTGCTCAAGTGTCAAAAACACAGTGGGCTACAGATGATATGGAAGGGAACTCAAACCCAGACAAAAGTATTAGGGCTGAGGGATATTTCCTTGCGACTTTCAGAATCCCACGAGCAAGGCTCTGTGTTGACACTTCTCAACTGTTTACTCTGCCTTCTTAGTGTGGATGAAATGTGACCAGTATACTGTATTTTATTTTTACTTTTGACATATTTTCTTACTGTGTTATTCTTTAATATTCAGGAAGAGGTGGGGATGGAGAAAGATCTCCATGCAGATTTCTTAACCTCCTTCTGCCCTTCTGTAAAAATGGAAAATATTAATGCGTGTGTTGCAGCTATCGGATGGGTTCTTAAGCAGAGCAGTAGTATGGTGGGGCTCGCTGTCCGTGTCCGGCTGAACATATCCCCTTCTCTTTAGCATATCGAGTTAACCTTCTGAGAACTTTCACTCTGCTGTTTTATTTCAATCCTGGTCACCGCTCTTGGTTTTGTTGGCGACTCTGGATTCTTGTATTGTTCTTTTTCCTTACTAGCTAGAGAGGATTCCTCTTTGGAGGAACAAGAGGCCTGGGATTACTAAGGAGACCATGCACTTCCTAGAGCCCAGGAGCAGAGTTTTAATGAGTTCTTATACTAGGAAAGGAGGGAGAAGACGCTGAAGACGTTTGTCCTCTGATTCCAACCTGCCTAGTATCAGGGTCTCAGGGCTGGCTGAGTGTGGATGACTCGGTGCATATGAAATGACTGAAGGTTGCTGCTCCAGCCACTGGCTTGAGAGAATGACTGAGTTTATTAATGATCTTGCAGAGCTGGAAGCTGACAGTCTTATTTGTTTTCATTATGTAAACCAGGGTGGTTTGGGATTATGTAGATTTCCACCTTTTTACTTAGAAGGCAAAGAATATTCATTAAGGATATCAATAAAGACCATGCCTGCGGTTGAGTCTCCGAGGCTGTTCCCTGCATGCTGAAAGACAGGAGAGAAAACTTAAGGGAGAAAGAACGAGAGAGATTGATTGGAAGGCAAATTATAAACCCATTTCAGCACTTGGCCTGCAGGCTGGGAAGTAACATTATTTGTTGTCAGGGATGGAAAACAACTCAGATTCAGGTCCAAGTGATTATTCCACGTTGACACTGCTGCCTCTCTGCCAACTGCGGCTCCACTTAGACATAGATTAATTAGGTTGGCAGAGGGGGTTTGGGTTTCCAGAGCTGTGGGGAAGCAGGCAGCTCTGCCCTGACTAGTCAAAGTTGGAGGTCTGGAGACTTGCCCCCCAGGAAGATGACAACCCACTTTCACTGCTAAAACCATAGAAAACAAGGGTGAGAGAGTGTGGATAGAAAACAGACTCTATCTACTTCTATAGCAATACAGTGTACATGTCTACTGATTTTGTTAATGCTACTGAGGCAAAAAAAAACCAAAAAAAAACAAAAAACAACAACAACAACAAAAAAAAAACGAAAAAACGAAGTTCAAACTCACTTGCTGGCAGGCTGTCCCCACGGAGATGGGGGTGAGGGTGGGGGACCAGCAAGTCATCTGTAGACTTAAGTGGCTTATTAATCTTTTCGTTGGCCTTGTATAAGCCATCTTGGACTCTTTATTATTCCTGCATGTGAAATGAAAGTGATAGTGTATATACACACAAGAGGATATATTATGACCATTATTTGAGTTATGGGACAGACAGAATAAAAATCAGGAAAACTCTTGAGAAAGTGAGCCCCAAGTTAGTTCACTGAAAACGGATTACAGGCTCCGCATGAGGGCCTCAGTGTCTGTCCAGAATCTTTCGTACTCACGGGGAGTCTTTGGCCTGAATATCTGCATATTCTGCGTGTATATCAACCGACAGCATCTGTTTTGCCAAGGGCTGGGACAGTGTGGGGTTTGTCTGTAACTCATCCCACCACCCTTTAGCGAGAGCAAGATGCACAGAGAGGGGGCTGGGCAGGGGTTCTTGCCCTCCGGTGGGGGTGGGGAACCGGATGATAGTCAACAGCACCCAGTCGGTCTTCTCCAGCGTCTGTGGCAGGCGCTAGTTCTGTCAGCAAAGCGTTCCCCTCTGGGCTGCAGCAGGCTGGCTTAGTGCTGCGATTGGCAGTGGTGGGCATTGGAAGGTAGTACGACTCCCAGAGGGAACCCTTGCAGCGTGTGCATTCCTTCCTCTCAAGAAAAACTCAGATGAGGATTTTTCTGTTTTACTGTTAACACTTCATTGCATGGATTTTTTTTTTCCTCCAGTGGTGGCGCTGAGCCGAACACGGTGCTAGCAGAAGGGGGCGGTACTTTCCCTCTGGTCCCTGACTTGGAAGCCAAGTGCGATTCCAGCGCAGTCACCACCAGAAGCAGATGTGCGAGCGGAGCAGCTATGCGCCTTTCTTTCTGCCCAGGTTAGCTTGTTTGGGTTTGTTCTTTTCCACGTGGAAGTGCCGTGTTTTGCCTTTCTCTGTCCTCAGCCGGGCTTTCGTGCTTGTAGATAGTCATGGTTTCATTTCAAAAAATCTTTTTGCATTTTACTTATTAAAAGAGGAAGAGGGATATGCACTACTGCTTTTGGGGGGCATAATATGTTCAGATGAGTTTCATGTTATATTCTAAATCACATTCATTTTACTGTTATTAAACCGTATTTAAAGGACGGAAATTTACAGGGGTTACCTCCCATTTCTTTTCTTCTTAGTATTTTAGACTCCTTTTTCCATTATAAGGAGAGAAGCCAAGATCGTTTTTAGCCAGTGAAGGACTTATATAGTACTTATTACAGATAAGTGAATCGTTTTGTCTCAGATGACTTAGAAAGCAAATCTTATATGGTCTGTATCACTAGGATATCCCAGCTGTATACAAAATGTGTTCAATTCATTTTACTTTAATAGTTATATTAATGAAAAGTTATTTAAAGGCATCAATTGTTTCTGTTTTTTTTTGTTTTTGTTTTTTGTTTTGTTTTTAAAAGGTCAGCTACTTTGCTTTGAATCTCCTCATCCACTGGCTATGATCTCCATCTCACTTTCAAAACTCTTTTGGTATTTCTGCCTTCTTAGAGCATTAATCAATAGCACAGCTAGAAGAGGTTTTCTAAAAAAAAAAAAAAAAAAAAAAAAAACCCCCCACTTAATCGAGAACACAGTTGGGACAAAATTTTAATCTTTCTGAAATAAAACGGGCACAGTGATTTTTGACCAACTTAAAGTAAGATGCTTTGGGAAGATGGGTCGCCCTTATAATATCCCTAGGGGTGTTCATTAGGACTATTTGAGAATTGCTTCCTTATGAATATATACTATGGGTTTAGGCCTTGGGATAGGTGTAGTATTTCTGATAGCGCGTTTTGCTCTTGTAACCAATAATGTTTTAGTTTTCTTTACTATAAGATATTTAAATACAACTGGCAAGACTAATGGTTGAGAACTGTAAGTCCAGAACTTGAGAAATGAAGGCAGGAGAATTAGGAGTTCAGGGTCATCTACCTAGCAGGGTCCAGGCCAGCATGGGCTATGGAAGCTCCTGCCTCAATCCAAACAGGAGCCTCGGAGACATCATGAACACTGGGGAGGAATGGGAAACTGTACCCATGCTACCTGTTTTCAGCAATGAAAGTAGACACAGAAATGAAGACAGGAGAGCTGGGCCTGGCAGACACTTTTGTCTTTGAAAAGTACTGTTTCCTTTTTAACATGTTTTCACAGAGCTTTTGTTCAGGATTTTGCACTGTTGAGAATGGGAGCAGGGCAGGGGTCTAGCATTGTTATCCTGATTAAGATAAAAGGAGGAAGTTAAGATCCATGACTCGATTTTACATTATTGTACTAGGAACGTAGAAAACATGGAGTTTTAAAAGGAACCACGTTTGAGTTGTTGATAACAGAAAACATATAAACAACCTCAACTGAAAGTGAGCAATAGGAATACAACCGGATACTGCTTCTTGACAAGTTCTTCTCTAAGTAGCAAGTCAAGGGGCTATGAAGACTGATGGGGACCAGCTTCACTGTTCAAGAATGGCTCTCACCTTGAGTCTTACGATGCTTAATGTTTTCATGAATGGCCTGGATGGTATAAAAGAGAACACTGGCATTTAAAAATAATGTGTGCCATAGCTGTTAATGTCTTGAGATGATAGCAGGAAGGAGCCAGGGTGAAAATTAGCAGGGAATCAATCAAAAGCTGATCAGAGTCTCTGTGGGGAAAGGCAAATGTCTATGTTCTGAAGCTGTTGGGTAGTAAGACAAGGCAGTAGAGAGGAGGCTGTAGTTCATGCACTGGCTACGAAGAACAGTTATAATTCTGTTGGAACCTAGTACAGCAACAGGAGATACTGCCTAGGAAACAGGAGGCCTGCTAGGTGATGGCCAGCTTGGGAGCATTGTCAGCTGCTCCTCCTCACTGTTAATGACTCAGGCTTGAACATCTGGCAGCAGTGATGGGCAGGTGCACCACATAGCACGGGGCTGCTAATCATTGAATCCCACGTGGAAGGCATTAATTCTTCTCCCAGACCTTTAATAGCACCAGGCCATCCACGTTTTATAGTAGAAATATCCTTGTGTCCTGTGTGATGTTTTTTCTTGTTGAGGTGATGGAATAACATCTTAAGAGAGGAAGGACCAAGTTTGGCACGTAGTTCAGGGCATACAATCTACCAGGGTGGTGAAGGTATGGTGGTGGGAACTGCTTATGGCTGCAGCCGTAGGATGTGAAGTGGATGGTTATATCGTAGAGGCAGTCAGGAAACAGAGAATTGGAGCAGGAACTTGAGAGGTTTGTAGCCCACAACCCTCACTCCTAGAGAATCTAAATCAAGACTTTGTGGCCAAAAGGTCCCACAACTTCCCAAAATAGCACTAGTTAGTGACCAAGTGTTCAAACACATGATCTGATGCGGACATTGCACAATCAGAGCATACTTAACTCCTTCAAGCCTTCATCCTGGACCCTGCCCCAACATGATCTCCTCTTGGTGAATTAACTCTTGCCACAGTTGTATCCTCACTGGTACTTGTTGCAGCTCACTGATACATCATTTCCTACATCTGAATTTCCATACCCATAATTCCCTCCTTCCGGTCAAGAAAGAGACTTGCTCTTTTCTCTGAGTGCTGCCCATACCCCTATCCACACCTTCATGCTCTTCGTCTTGTCTTCCTCCCTTCCTCCTTTCTTTTGTTCATTCCTCCTCTCCTCACTATGATCGCTTGAAGCTGGTGATCTCCACATCACTCTTCCTACTGGGAGGCTGACATCTTGCATCTCCTCAGGAAACTGTTTCTCAGCCTTTAAAGCTCACCGCACAGCAGTCCACATAGCTAAGCATCCTGCATTGACGTTGCTTAGCTCTGCCAATCAGGCTATGGCTCCTGCTGGGTGGCAAGTGAAGAGTGAACGGAGTGAAGCAGAGAGGGGGAGTTAGTGAAGGGCTAATTCATACCTGAACACGTTTCCTCGAGTTGTATTTTTTTGACATCTTTGTTGTGTCTCATCCTTGGGAGACATAAATAAGTATCTATTTATCCTAGCCAAAACTGCAATGAGAAAACACACAGCTGATTCCATCCAAGTCGTGCTTGATGAACCAATGAGTTTATTGCACTCACGTACAGGGATAAGGGTGAGAGGTCACATACAAAACCATGGTGACTCATACACAGCTATGTCACCAAAAAGCCCACCCCAGTACGAGTGATGACTCTGAGAAGCTACATCCTGGTGGTTTCCTGTACAAGTAGCAGGCATCTTCATGAAAGAGCCCTTTCCTATGGCAATTGCCGTTTACATAACCTTATAGAGGGAGAATTGTGAATTTTATAAGTTTCTGAGTTTCCCATAGTTTTTGTTTGTTTATGTTTGTTCTGTTTTTTGTTTTGTTTCTTACTCTTAAGAGCCCCTACCATGCCTCCAAGAGAGACTGGTTCAGTTCAGAGGAAATATTTATGTCACACCTGTTTACATTCTGTTCACGGGCTCGTCATTCCCACTGTTTACGTGATGCTATTCTGAGCTCACCCTGTCCTTTCTGCCTTCAGTGGTTCAGCTTTTCCAATAGTGTCTTGGGAACAGAGATTCTGTTTGTAGATATCACTTCCTGTAAGTCTTTGCTGGTCTTCTAAAAGTTCATAAAATACAAGCACCAAATAGCATAGCGTGAAAACCAAGTATGAATTAGAAATAAGTATAACTATATACTTCCTGGTGATACTGTCGCTATGTGTGTCATGGCATACAATCAATCCTGCATGCCAGGATGCAATCCTGGGAGATTATATCACTTGGAGGCTGGAAAGTAAAGGGGCTTGTGGCTCAGTGGGTAAAGGGCTTGTGGCATAGGTATCCCACCTAAGACCAGGCATGAAACTTTATGTGCCTCCTATACTAAAATTTTCTGGCTAGCAAGTCTAGCTAATGGAGCAAGTTCTAGGTCCAATGAAAATCAAAAGAGGGAACAATAGAGAAAGATACTCAGAGTTCACCAGAATGGGTTCTGGAGATGATGTGCCTCTTCTGCTAGACTGTCATTTATTCCTATTGGCACTGGATTGGGTCTTGCTTTCTCATCTTTCCCTTTCTGTCTGGAGATTGCTTCTTAATGCTCCCTTTCCATTAGGTTAATTTCCTGCTTCAATGTGAGTCTCACAATGCATGTGTGAGACAGACAGACAATGCATGTGTGGTCAGAGGATGACTCCTCAGAGCTTGTTATAATCCAGCATGTGGGCTCTAGGGATCAAAGTGAAGTTCTTAGGGGAAGGTTACCACATCATGCTCACCTCCAGGGCTGGTTCTGATGGCTCCTATCTGTGGTACTTATCTCCCCCCACCCCATGTGTATGTGTGTTTGTTCGTGTGTGTGTGTGTGTGTGTGTGTGTGTGTGTACGTGTGAGTATCACAATCCATGTGTGGAGGTTAGGGGCCAGAGTACAACTTGTGAGAGCTAGTTATAACCACCATGTGTACTTTAGGGATCAATGTTAGGCTGTTAGTGTAGGGTTGATAGCTAGTGCTTGCATCATCTCAAGAGAAAAGGAATTTATTAGGGAAGTATCCCACAAAAGCGGTAAGAAGTTAAAAGAATCATAACCTCTAATTTTACAGCAGAAGTGACTTGACCCATCACATGTGTCTAACTTTCTACAGCATGTGAATAGCCAACTGTATCCCAAGTGCATAGGATGATCTTGTCTCATGACAGTGGTGACTGACATAAACACTATCACATAGTTATAATATTTAACTCTTATGATAATGTCCTTCCAGTGAATGGAATTCAAGCCCTTCCCTATAGCTTTGGAAAATGTATTTCAGTCCTAATTTGAGTTAAGCCTAATGATGGATTGAAGATTGTACCTAGGTGTGTGTTAGCTGGGTGTGTGTGTGCCACCTTCTCAGGCAGAC